AAAATCAAAATGCATATTAACACTTCTGAACAATAACATATTCCCCTTCATTCTGATCCTAAATTCTATTAATGCCTTACACATTTGAAGAGTTGCATTAAAATCTTGTTATGAATACAATCAAAAAAAAGCCTATCTGTGTAAGTTTATTTTAATTGAAATTGAGATTTGTTCTGAGTAATAAGAACTGGAAACAATTACATTCAAGTGCATTTTCCATGCAAATAATTAATGCAATAAGAGCAAATATATATATTTGTTATACATATATATTATGTTATATATATTATGTTATATATATATTACGTTATATATATATACTATGTTATATATATACACATACACAAAAACACAGACATAATTATTGCCATGGATTCTGGACCTGCTTAAGCCAACATAAACTAGGACTGAGCCAGAAAGAGGAGCTCCCCTATGGCCACATATTCCTGCCTTCCAGCAGCCTCCTTCTTTCCAGCTCCTGTTTCACACGTAGGAAACACTTGGGACAGCAACATGAGAGGAGGTCGGTCTGCTCTCCTACTCATCATGGGAGAGGGACAATGGAGACAAACTGGCCACCACTCCCCTGAAACTCAGGAAAGTGCAAGGGGAGTATGGGAGCAAGAAGGCTGTCAAAAACACAGCATCATCAGATCAGACTTTAGGACCAACAGCAGGCTACCAGAATTAGATGCTATTGACCCAGAAACCTAAGAGGCACTCCAACACACAGCCACGGAACTATTAACCATGCTGCCTAGCTTCCCTCTAAGACAAACAACAAATGAGATATGAAAAGCTGAGGATGTGCTACCAATTTCAATAAAAGGGCTCCAGGGAACTACAGGCTGGTAGCTACAGGCTCCCCCCTACACTGAGAATATTGATAGAAAGTCTAAGAACAGATTAGCAGATATGCAAATAAATATGATATAGTAGTATCATCATGGCATGGCTTCTTTCACAGCAAACTTCCCATGACATATATGGATAACTGTGATATGTATGATACACTGTCTGTGCTTGGATCTTTAACAAACCTTTGACAATGTCTCTCACCCCAGGCTTTTAAAGAAATTGAACTGTCATGGAATAAGATGGAAGGGCCTTATGTGAATTAACAACTGGTTAGATGGGAAGAAATAGGACAGGAATAAATAGACAGTTTTCTCAACAGCTCTGGTTTTGCATTTGTGCTACTCAACGTATTTACTATTTATGTGAAAAACACAGCAAGCAGCAAGATGATAAAGTTTTTTGGTGATTACAGTATCAGAAGATCTGCAGATAGATTTGTCAGATATTTATACACACACAACGCAAAATAATAGCTGAAATAGTGAATGGAAACACTGGAGCCACCACAGTTTAACTGAAGTGAGGAACTACCCACTCACAGATGGCAAAGCTCAGTGCCAGTTGAGAGCACAAACGGAATGCTGGGAGTAAGCAGGTATGCAATGCAATAGGGAATACCACTGTACCACTAGAAATCCTTGGTGCAGCCTACAGCTGCTCTCTAAGCAAGTGTCAGAGAAGGATGCAACAGATATAGCAAGGAAAGGTTCAAAGGAGGGTGGCAACTACTGGATGTCTGGAGCAGCTTTAAACTGAAGGAAAACTAAATGACCAAGTGCTTTTAGATTAGAAGTAAAGATAAAGAAGATGACAGACATAAAACCATGAATGGTATAGAGAAAGCAAATAGGAAACCATGTCTCGGAACAAATGAATCGGGTGATATAAAATGAATTTATCAGGCAGCTTGTTTGAAAACAAGAGGAAAAGGAGGTACTTTTTCCATACTACAATTAATTGCAGAACCTACTGTTGCAGGATGTTGTGAAGGCAAAACTTTAGAACACAGTAACACATGGTTAGATGTATTCATGAAAGAAAAGTCTACAAGGACTGTTAAACAAAGGTGCAGATACGACTTTCTTGCTCGAAGTCCTTGAACTGCAGCCTGTCAAACACTTTGGGGGATTGCCGTCTTTACTAAAGCTTTTTCCCCCTAAGCACTACCACTGGTCATTATTAGAGGTAGGATGCTGGGCTAAACCAGATCTCTGGGTGGAAATACTGGGGCTAAATCCCATGTCATAGGCCCAGGAATCTTCAGCAAGATGTGCAGTACTGGAAGTCCCATCTTTTGATGTCCACCTCCTAAAGCATTACATCCTCCACTCCCTCTCTGAGGGTTGCCCTCAGGCTGCGAGCAAACATCCATAAGCAGTACCTGCTTAAGCAGCAAGACAAAGATTTGCTTCCTCTTGGAGAGATGAACTTGATTAACCAAGTTCCTGTTACAAGAACACAGCTGTGCTACATGTTTCTAGACTGGGTTAGGTGTGGCCAGCCTGCAATTTTGCCTGCATTAAAGAATGGGATGTACCTGCTTTTGTTTTGTGACCTGTACTAAAAACCTCATTAGAGCAGAGTTACATAGGAGCAGCTTCTGTTACCCACTTTAGGTAGCTGAACTCAATTATGGTGCTGTGCTAGTGAATTTCAAGGTCGTTTGAGAAGTTGCACAGTTTCTGAAAGGCAGTGGCAAAAGGGGATGAGGAAGATGAAGGAGGAAGTAGAAGGAGGCCACTTCTGCAGGGATTCAGAAGTGGAGCAGCAAGGGAAAGCACACAAATGGCATTAAATCTTGCTCTGCCTTCATGTCCCTGGCCACTCATGCAGCTCCCCTCCCAAGAACCTCCTAAGATGGCTGCAGGCAAACTACGAACCTGAGACATGTCAAGAAAACGGCCTCTTGATGAGATTTATGAGGCACTAGCAGATTTATGCAGCCGCTCATAAAATGAGATATATGCCCACTCGCATAGCCCTACAACCACATTATAAATACAATCACATTTTGTGCTCAGCAGCTAACCTGCTGCATTTGTCACCTGTTGTTAAACATGCTTAAAGTGCCTTAAAGGAAGCATATAAACTTTGGTTCACTTTCATAAATTAAGTGAGCTTTCCAGTGAGAAGTGAATTTGCATTTCTCAGTATCACCCATTTCTAGGCTGCAGTACCCAGAAAATATTTAGAGTTTAGGTATGTTATTTCTCTTGGGAGAAACTGATAGAGCTGAAACCCAGAGAAAATCCTTCCCCTGGAAAGGAGGAATCAGTCATTTGGAAACTTTCAACTTGAAATCTCTTTCCAGATAGCAGCCTGCTCAACAAGATCTCTCTTGCATCATACACTCTCTCTCTGCTTCCACACAACAACTCTTAAATTCTTGTATTATGTTCTGCATGCAGTCACACACAGTTCCACACACAAAACAAAGCAAAGCCAACCGCCCCACACTCCCAGACACACAAAAACCCACACACACATCACAAACAAACCCCAACCAATAAACCTGTCTGTTCTAACACTGTATTGGACTCGGCTGCTATTTCAGCTGCCCCATAACTTCTACAGTGGGTGGTGACTTTCCTGTTCTGCACAAATCACTCAAAGCCACACAGGCTGAGATCACCTTCATCAACTGTCCAGGCTCTCAGCCACACAGCGCTGACCACATAAACCTCTACATAAAAGCACAACGGGATCCTACTGGCTCCTATGATAGGCTTGCAATGGAAGAGTTGCTCACATTTTCCTTCCTGTGCCGAAGATAATACCAACAATAACTCTTAGCATGATATGAAATACATCTAAGCAGCCTGTTCAACAACAAAGCTCAGTCACTGACGCGCCTTATGCTGTTGTGTGAAGAGGTCAACTCTTCCTTGAGATATTAGCACCACTTGTCAGATGGCAGCAAGTCTGTTAGTGCTTATTTTATCATGTTCTTGGGATTACTTGTCTTAGCTCAGTGATTATCCCACAAATACTGGCACTAAGATGACTGATTTGGTGACTCGCCCCTACTTCTCCACTGTGATTTCTAAACAGCACCACTCATCTTCCCAAAGGCCAACTCCATCCAGAGCATCAACATTGCATAACTGCTGCCCTGCCTCTTCTGATGGTGCCGAGCTCTCACAACACGCTGCCTTACCCACAGCTTCTGCAAAACCACAGATGCATTTGGACTACAGCTCTATCTCATTCTTGGTACCTCAATTCTCTTCACATGCCTCTAAGCTCCCACTAATTCTGAGACAGCTTCTTAAACGAAAGCACCATTGCTCTGTTTTCAAATAGACAAAATGAGGCATGTCTCCATGAATGTTTTACTGGTACTACTCTGTAACTTACCAATGCTAGATACAGATCAGAATATGTGACCCCAGATCATTTACTAGCAGGTAATTTATTATTCTGGGGCCAACCAGTCCAACCGGACAGAGACTGGCGTTTAGAAGTCCTGACCTGTACTTCTCTATAAACACCCAGAATCACGCTGATTCAGTTTCAGAATTCACCACCAGGCACTTTTATAGCAAGTATAACAGATTCAGGAAAACCAGGCCTTGTTAGTATGATCAATTGTTAAGTCTGAAGAGAAGATATTTGAACGCTATCTTACAAAAGGAAGAGGCCAGATTTTCTCTCTAAGGACAGAGGTCAGTATTACCTTGTTCCATGCTCTCATACTTTCAGCGCTAATTCTTGCCCTTTTGGACTAAACATATAGTCAGAAATCAGCCTTAACAACTTCCTATATATTACAGATCCTTTGAAGTGAATGTTAAGATATATTCATCTGTTCTGGGTTTTTTCAGCCCCTGAAATTCCTTTCATGTTTCCAATTTCAGCAGCATATGATCCTGATATTTTTCAAACAAACCTTGTGAAGAAATGGAAACAATGCTGCACCAAGCTCCACAGCTTTCTGCAACACCTCCTCACAAGCAAGAAACTTTGCCATAATAGTTCACATTTTGCCCAATATCAGGCATTCTTGACATGTTTTTATTAATGTACTGCTGCCTGGAGGGGGTATTTGGGAGTACTGCACCCCCTGCCCCCATTTGTTTCTATGTACAGCCTCTAGACTTTGCTCCTCTAAGCTGCTAGGTGCTCCAGACAGCTTATCTACAAGGTACCTCTACAACCACCCAGCTTTTCCTGTATTCAGGTTCAATTTGCAAGCCAAACTGCTGTAGCAAAGAATGTATTCCAGGGAAGTTTGATAAAACCTGTTGGTAACAGTAATACAACTATTAGATTAGATATTAGAATAGATTAGATATAAGGAAGAAGTTCTTCACAGTGAGGGTGGTGAGGCACTGGAATAGGTTGCCCAAGGAAGTTGTGAATTCTCCATCCCTGGCAGTGTCCAAGGCCAGGTTGGACAGAGCCTTGGGCGACATAGTTTAGTGTGTGGTATCCCTGCTCATGGCAGGGGGGTTGGAACTAGATGATCTTAAGGTCCTTTCCAACCCTAACTATTCTATGATTCACTGACATTAAAAGACATGATTTTTAATATGCTGCTTTGTGTTGTTCAGGAATCATTCAGAATTAAGGAGTCAGACAACAAAGGCAATCACCAGCAGTGCTCTAACTGCTCAGCACAAGCCTTTGTGTTCAGTCTGGTAAGACCACTGTTAAGAAAAAAACCCCCACTTTCTGGGACTATTGTTTCACCTAAACAAAATGGTATTTAACTGCTCCCTCATTTAACCCGAATGGAAAGCTATTGTCATTCCAGTTGTCTTTGGGAGGGTCTGTGACTACAAATCAAAGAATATCCTGGGAACCAATGCCACCAGTGTGATTATCCCTTCTGGATCCAGCTGCAGAAGG